TGGGGGAGAGAGAGGGAGAAGGTCCACACTGGCACAGTTCTGTTTTTGTCAGTGTGGACACAGTGCAGCACTCATGGATTACATATATACAGTGTATGTGTGTGTGTGTGTGTGTGTGTGTGTGTGTCACTATTGCATAGAAACAAAGCTGGCACTGTGTGAGAAGACGACTCGCTGACAAGCAGGCGGTTTGCCTACAGGCTAAAAGCAAACAACTCTAGTCTCTTTTTGAACATTTTGAATCTCCCTCCTCTCTTCTGCCCACGTCTCTTTGTGTTTATCTCTTTATATAGGTACGTTTCCACCAAAGGGTTTTGGAACCTAGAACCAGAGGAACTGACGTGGAACTAAAAGTCCCCCTTGTGCTTTCCTGGGTGGGTTTCCGCCACCTAGAACCAGGCAGATTGTGCAGATTAGACCCATGAAGAATAAAAAAAAAAGACACAGGTGTTTGAAACGCAGTATTAACATATAAGGAGAAAAGATGGCGTCGTCCTGGTCTGTGTATTCACTGCTGATGACTCTGATGTTGGAGTTAAAGTTTTTCTATTCACTGGCTGTGTTCACCCTGTTCACACTGCCACTAAAAAAACCAGGAAGCCAACAACATATTACTTATCTCAGTTACTTTTAACGTTGATAAATGACGAACACATTTTTACCTTTAATCCTAATATCTATGCTAGAGTATCACAGGTAGTGTACATAGTTCCTCAAAAACTTTTGTTTCTTGGAAAATTCCTGCTTTTTTACCTTGTGTCACAGTCACTCGCTCCAGTTTAACTTTACCCTACATATGTCATGTTTGAACTCGATAGACTGCACCTGCTGCACTCGACTTTCAAGCTCCTGTGCCACTGATAGAGACTGGTATGAAGGTGGAGCTGTGTCTTTTCTGCTTGTGTGCCTGCTTCCAGACAGTACACACGGTAAAAGTACATGGCGCTTCAGTCATTTCTGAGACACTATCCTCCCCCAGAGTTTTAAATGCTGCTTCTCTAACTTTTTTTTTTCTACACTGTCATACCCTCATGGGTTTTTAATCCCAGATTTACTTTTGAAAATTATGGTTTTATGATGAGATCTTTTTAAAATTGTCTTTTTTTTTTTCTTATGGATTTTGAGATTTGTAGGCAGGAAATCTCACATATACAGGTAGAAGAATGTGAATAAAAATAAACAGCTGAACTCACACCGCCTCTGTGTGCTCTTTGGAGAGCGGTGTTATTGCTAATAGAAAAATGGGATGAGATTTTCACTGGGACACTTTCTTTTTTGGTTTTGTTTTAATTATAGAAATAATTCTCCAGGCTCTTACCTGAGCCTCAGCTACTGCTGTCTTTACCAACATATAAATACTGGCACGTTCCTTTGCAACTAATGGATGTCTACATCATAGGTTTGTAGTCTTGTTACTAAACGTTAGTCGACACCTTTCAAATGAACAGAATTCACAATATGTAATGGTACAATGCATATTTGAAAAAGCAGCGAGGAGAAATATTAAAATTCACCAGTGAACAATGCATGTTTTTATACTTAAAATGTGTTTTTCTCAGGACTGTGCACATAAACTGAACAAAGGTCACTGGTTCCATTTAGAATTCCATCAAAATCAAAAAGTATATCAAGTAAACAGTTAAAACCCATGATCTCTCATTTGTTACATCAAACTAAACCTAGTGTTTTGTTTTACCTTTTCTGATCCAGTTCTGCAGGAGGGCCACGTGAGTCGCTACGTGCTGCACTACGCTGCGTCTTCAGTGTGGACACTGCAGTAGTATCAAAGTGATACTTTACACTTGGCTTCTGACACACCAACCAAACACAAGCTTAGTTTTCTCCTGCAGTGACATTGAACTCTGTTATCCTCTGGTTTAGAGTAACAGTAGTGGCTCTGTCCTCTTCTTTGCTTGGTTTGTTTGGCAGTGTTATTTCACAAATGTCATGGTTATACCTCGCCATCAAACCCTATTCTCTTGTGAAACTGAAAAAAAAAATACAAAGAGTTTTACATTAAAGCATGAACTTCCTGCTTCCAAAACAAATGTTGGAACGAATGACATTTTAATTACACTTAGTGAAAAGTGTACCATAATACTTAAACAAGCTTCACGCTGCTGTATTGTACCAAAGCAGTGTTATTTATTTCCATGGCGTATGTGGTATCGTCTGTAACTAGAAAGGTTAAAAAGTCAGCTGGCGTCCAATGCTAGCTACAGCTGATAAAAATGCTGGTGACAGTTATCATTTCAGGTGATTTAAAATCCAGATAGAAATGAGAATCCTGCTTTTGTTTAGGCCCACTTCTGTGTGAACTGGTAGCGCCATTGTTTTGATATTATTGCAAATAGAAAGCCGGGGGCCAACGGTGACTAAAGGGACAGGTTATTTTCTTCTGTCAGTGACAAACATTACTAATGGATGCTTCCTTTATCAGCGCCGATAACGTCATAAACACAAATTACACCACCTCGTGCTCTGTAACAAGTGCAGTGGCTACAAAGACTTAATGTGATGGAAAAGCCGCCGTTCGCTGTCACAGCCCCTGTTGCTGGTTTTGGTCTGGAGTGGAGGTGAGCTGGCTCTAAACTGGACTCCACATCCCAGTGCAGGCTTTGAACACAGAACAAAGCCTGTTGTGTGATCAAAGTTCAGCTCGCTGTTGCTTTCCCTGCCAGCAGAAAACCCATTAATGTTGCACAGCAGAAAGCAGCCTGTGTTGAGAACATCATAATCTGTGAGAGGTGGTGCTCTCCCTGCTTTTAGCTCTGTCTGAGAGGGAGCTGACTAATGCAGGACACTTGGTGGACATTTAATGGTTAAATAACAATGTGTCTATTGAACAAGATAGATTTTAATGAGAACTGACTCAACACTGTGCTCCGGTACCTGTTCATTAATACTGTAGCATCAAAATAAACACACAGATAAAGCGCTGAAACACTGGCCGCTCCAGACTAAGTTCCAGTCTGCAACTGATCACCTACTGCAGCGTGTGCCTCACCGTATAGCGCTGTTCAATAATGCAGGAACCAGCCCTTTAAAGGATGATTGAGCAAGCTGGAGCTGATGACTTGTCTGGTCTGGTTAAAGCCGACTTAGCTTTGCTGTAATCCATATTTAGTTGCCTCTTGACAGCAAGGTTTCACATCAATTCATCTCGGTGTCTCATCCTCCGACTCAGCCACGTTCTGCCAACTTGTTTATTCTTCCTTTTACATGGTTCTGCTCAGGCTTCTTAAATCCTCCCATCACAGTTATCTGTGCTGAAAAGCGCATTTTCCATCTTGGAGCTTTAGCTTCTACCTCACCTGCTTTGAATGAAGGTAAGTAAAATGTTTCATCTATTTGATGTTTGTGATAAGATCATTACTACTGTATGCTTTCCTCATCCTTTCCTCTTTGCAGGCAGACTCCTTTCCACCCCACATGCTGTCACGTTATACCTACATATGTATTAGAGGCTGCCAGAGCGAGATGAGGAAGAGATGGATGGCTGGAGGCCAACTGTCTGCTGCAGAGATCCATAATTTATGGAGGAAAAATCCCGTGCTTGCTTTTCTCGGTAAGTCTGAAAACTAACCTTTCATATTTCTCACTCTTGGTTCTCTCCTCTACATAACATATGAGGATGTCATCAGACGGTAAAATTCCTCGGAGTGCAGGTTGTTTCTCTGACCTATTTGATATTTTGTAGTCACACATAAGGATATGACTCCGTGATCTATCTGCTCCAGTTGTTGGTTTTTGGGTTGGAGAATGTGATTCATCTTGGAGACGTTCATAAAAAGACTGATAATGAAGTTTGGACCTTAAATCACTTGGTCCAGATTTATCATTTATTAATATCAGAATATAAATTTATTGCAAAGTGAAGAACATCTGTAAATTGAAATTAAAGGCCCTCTGGGTTCTAATCCTCAATGGATTAAGTAAAAAAAATAAAATACACATTTCTAACTTCATAACTACAACAAATCAGCATTTTTTAAACAGTCATAGTATGTTATGTACATTACAAGGACACATTGCAAGAGAGTGTTTTAAAGGTTTTCCTTCATCTTTCTGGACAGATCACTCCATAGTCATCATCACTGAGAAGTTCTAGTGAAGATGCTAATGTTTCGTTTGCAAATGTTGTCCAAATATTTGCAAATGCCACAATTTTCAGGCAAGGAAATCGGTTTTAATTTTTGAGTGAAAAGAGAACTATAAACTTCATATGCAAATGGAGACAGTGCACGCTGAGCCCTTACTGCTGTCTTCTCCTAACGTCGACAGTTACATTGTGATGATGTGCAGTTAGAACTACTTCGCTATTGGTCACCTCGCCCGTAACAAGTTTTTTAAGCAGTCACTAGCTGTTAAGATGCTTTATCATGGAGGACTCATCAGCATATACTGTACTAACAAGCATTCTGCTAGGATTATTTATTCTTCACATACTGTATTTTCATAATTTCCCAGAGACCAAGGTGATGACATTCAGTGATTATAGAACAGATCCTCACACTTTAAAAGGTAGAAGCAGCAAATGTTTTTTTGCTTGAGAAACTACTCGTCAGTTACAAAACTACAAATACAATTCAACATGATCAAAATAACCTGGTATTTTCTTTTGATTCCTTAATCGTTTCAGCGGGAGGTTCAACCCCAATGACCGCATGTGCACTAGCAGCTCGGCCTCAGCGGCGGCAGACTCTCAGCTCCGCTATCAGCTCTGAACTCTCTTTAAACGCTGCCTGATCAGTGCGTTCCCCTGGCTGGAACGCTGTGCTGATAGCTGGAGGAAAAGTAGAGAGAAAATGATCAAATGATGCCAGAGAAAGCAGGAAGGGAGCGGAGAGGGGATTAGTGAATGGAGCGAGAGCGAGCTGGTTTGGAGGAGGATGGGAGGATGGGAGGGTGGCACGGA